TGACAAGCAGAGAAGACCCCCACGGTCGGTTCAGACTGAAGGAGCAGGCTGATCTCAAAGCGATGCTCAGGCAGAGACTTCCGGAGGCTGGGTGTCCAGTTTGAACCACCACAGGAGGCTCCACCACTTGGGAACTGAGGAGCAGCCACTTGGAGAAGCCATGCTGTGGAACCTCAAGCTTTACACTCAAGACACCAGGCACTTTTGAAAGCCACAGATGTAAAATCTGAAGACTCTTATTAATAAGTAGGAGGTGGAGCAAAACACTCAACTTTACCCCTCTGGACATTAAGCATTAAAGAAGTCTATCTGTAAAGTACCAGCAAAATTAGGAGACAAAAGAAGAGGAGAACAGGTGAGAAGTTTGCATCCTTGACCATCATTATGCCTTGTGCATTGGAGGGGGCCAGACTGACCTTCAGAAATCAGACTGAGGTGGTGGGCTCCAGAGGTAGCTCCTCTATCAAATGAACCAAACTTTAAATGATAAAGTAAGAAAAAAAAAAATCCAAGGATTTACTAGGCAATTTTCTCTCCACACATTTTAATCATACCCTGATACAATGAGCCACTTCTGCTAATAACTGTTCTTCAGATGACTACATAGATGACTCCTCAAGATGTGAGCTTCACGGAGATACATCCTCTCTCTGACTGATGTCTCATCTCATTCCACATAAGACAACCACCCAGTACAACTTATGCTATTTCACTCTGCCCTATTTTTCCTACTAAGGTACTCAAATGTACCGGCAGTCAGTACAGTGTTCTCCACAAGGAGCAGATGTAAAACCAGGACATTCCCACTTACACAAACGTGGAGAGAGGAGCAGAGCAATGCACTGCAGCTCATACGCAGCTCCACAGAACGATGCTCCATGTTCCTGAATCAAGTGAAAAAAGGCAAGAGAGAATGACACTAATTATTGGGCAGGGGCATGGATGCAAAAGTAGAAGTGCAAAAGTCCAGGAAGAGCTTGTCTCCATCTTCTTCTATCAGTTTTCAGCCAAGCATTCAGCTGAACAAAGCCTTTTTCTTTTGCTTTTACCCAAAAAGCCTGCCGCTCACTGGTGACTCAAAACTCAGCCCTGTGCTTGCAGTGTACCTGCCCCAGAAAAGGCCATTTTACAGCTCTCATCTCTGCTGCCGTGGTGTATAAAGCTGGGACAGGCCACTTGTGACCATCCAAAGAGTGTTTTTGTGGTTTAGGTTCCTCACTCAAGGCTCTTTGGGACAAGGCTGCAGTGGTGTAGGAACATCCCAGCATCTGGGATTCATTTCAGCCTCAGGGACTCCCCAGTGGTACAGAAGTTGGCTGCTTTGCTCACTGCTCCTGATGCATGGGCCAAAATGCTGGCAGGCAGAAGATGAGAAGATGAGAGTAGAAGACAGAAGGGGATTTTTTTGTTGTTAGTTGGGTTTTTTTGCCTATTCACAGCTGGTAAATTTTCCCTGGGCAATTCCAGAGCACGCCTCCAACTTCTCTAACCTTTGCCAAGTGTCTGACAGAGCCAGGAAGCCACAGTGGGGTTTCTGAAGGATGCAGAAGCCAGATGCAGTGGGCAAACACCACGTATTTCCCAAGCAAACACAACATCGTAGGCAAGAAAGAAAAAAGACAAACTGGTGCTGGAGAGCACTTCTTCCCTCTGGCTCTGAACTTTGCAATTCTTCAAGCAACCAAAGTAGAGAGATTCCAGAAGAAGCATCATAAAATTAAGAAGCTTCAAATGAACAAACAGCCTGTCCTTATCACAGCTCGTACATCAGCATCCTGCTGCGCTGAATCCGAGAGCAGCTCCCACAATGCCTCCCCAGTTGCTGCAGCTGGCCAACACTGGTTGGTGTAATTAGAAGCATCAAAACTTCTCGATGCTGCAGAATGTGGGTTGGCACACAACGGCATGGTGCCAGCAGTAACTGGAGGTGTCATCCATCGTGATGCTACCCAGGGCTGAGAGTTGGGAACAACTCATGCTGCTGCAGTGACTGGACTGCAGCGAGGCGGAGAGAGAGCTAAATATACAGCCCTTAAAAAAGCAGCACTCCCCTGCTCTTGTTTAGCATGTATCTGCTGAAAGGCACAGGGAAAGAAAAATACAACCTGGCACATCATCCTCGAGACATTCCCAACACAGGATGTACCCACAGCTGCTTATACTGCAGCAGTGTCAGGAGATCTGTCACTGCAGGAGGTGGCATCTATCCCAACTCACCCTGCTGCCATGGCAGAGACCCCGCAGTGCCAGCCCAGAGAACACCTACATGAGCAGAGCTCTGGGCTCAGTTCATAACTCAGAGCACCCAGGCTGAAAATTGTCCCAGTGCAAAAAAAGGGCACAAGCTGGGAGCACAAAAAGGCCAGGAATTGGTCTTCCAGCTGCTTGCGGGAAGGTCAGCCTTGCCTCATCCTCCCAGTCAGCCAATCAATAAATGAATTAATAAAAAGAAGTAACAACAACAACAAAAAAAAAGGAAAAACAGCAGAGTGGCAAAGCCCGAGCTGCGTTATCAGAGGAAGCCAAACCCACCAAGCTCAGAACCAGCCACGGACACTTCCGCCAGCCTGACAGCAGAGGAATGACAATGGTTGTGGTCTCTAGGCTGCCTGAGCTGCCAGTTCAGCTTTCACTGTCTCAGCCTGACCCGTGCAAGGAGAGTTGGGTGCGATTTGCACCCAGATCTCAGTATGCCCCAAGCTCCAGAGGGACCTGCCCCACTCCCAGCCCAGCTCTCCAGGCAGGAGCTCTGTACCCCCTTAGGCAGGGATGGGACATGGAAAAGAACCAGAAGTCTGCTCCTGGGAAAGATTTCAATGACTTGGGTATCAAATAGGCCCCTGTCCTTTGAAGACAAAACAGCAGCTAAGGCTGGAGTGCAACATCAAACTGAATTTAACAGACTTAGGAGTCAACAAAATGAAAATCCCCTAGAACCGTGTTTCTCCTACCAATGACAATTAGGTGAAAAATCTTGCTTCTTCCTCCTTAAGATCACAAGTACATGCAAGTCTCAAAACAGCACAGCCAACTACTGGGATTTTGGAGCCCAGCAACAGAAACATGGCACTGGATCCTCTCAGGACCATGACAGTTCAGGAGAGCTGCTCACCGAGGACAGCATCCACCGCCCAGCTGCTGACAGAGCCAGCAACTCCTCCTGCCATCTGGGAAGCATGGAGAGCTTGTGGCACACTTCTGTTTATCAAAGAGATGGTGAAGCAAATAAGCACGGATAATGCTCCACCAAAAGACTTTTTGTTTCAACCCAACTCTGTGGACAAGCAAGAGAAATCATCAGTGATTTTGCTTTTGTAGATGCACCGCCTTAGGAAGTGTAATCTATTTACACAAGAAGCAGTTGACAAGGGATGAGAAGGACACTAGAGCCATCTGCAAAGGGCACTGCAGACCCCACCAGGATGTTGAGACACAGATTATAAAACTCTGGCCACCAAACCCTGCAGCAAGTGGATACATCTGTCCTTGGGCTGCCAGCTCTGCTGGTCAGGGCAGAAAAGGGCAGGATTTTGTGCGTGGCGATGGATGGGTCAATGTCACACCAGAGCCTGCAGAGAAATAAGAAGCCTCAGTGGTGTCAGGTGAATAGCAAAGCTGCTGTCTGGGTGTGGACTGTCACAAGCTAAGTCGCCTCCACCTCCTCCAGGTTTGAGGCATCATTTTAACATGAGTTTTTACTAAATCCCAGCCCTGACTTCTCAAATCCTCATCCACACAAGCACTTCTGAGTCCTCAGGAAACCCTATATGAAGCATCTTCCCCACCTTCCCTAAGCCAGGACCAGGACCCAGAGGTGATGCCTGGAGGTCAGTTTGAGGTAGGAGGAAAACCTGAAAAGTCCTAAATTCCCAACACGGTCAAACACAGGAAGGTTTTTCCCTCTCTCTGCCTTGGGACCAACAAAACCAACAAAAAAGTCACTTTGTTGAAGCTGTTTTTCTGAAATAAAGAAAAAAACTAAACATGAGCACCACCATGTCCAGCTGAATTTGCACCATCTCCTCCCCTGGACCTGCAGGATCGCTTCTGCTGGGAGCACCTTCCCGCTGGCTTCTCCTTGGGCTCCTTCCCACAAAGACAGAGGTGTTGCAGCAATAGGAAAGGTGAGAAGCTGAGGGTTTTTTTCCTTGAGAAAAATAATCCTAACAAGATAATCACAACACACGCGGAGTGTGCCCCTCCACAATACACAGCAGCTCTGCCAGTCCTCAAATCATTTCTGTGCCTGTAGGAACCGTGGAAGCTGCTGCCAGAAGCCATTTTAGATCAAAACCAGGATTTGGGAACACTGCATAAAGGGATGGGGGTTTTTTTATTGTCACGCCAGGCAGTGCTGCTGACAACTGGGATTTCCCAGATTTAGCATTTGAGCATCATCAAAACCTACCCTAAAAACCAATTTCAGTTCATCTCCTTGCTCCCTGCATGGTACAGCACATTCTGGCCACTCAGCCCTCATGGTCTACAAAGTCTATCCCAGCTTACTAGGAAGGTTTACACTGTTTGGGAGACAATATCTGTTCATCTTCACAGAGGATATTATTTGTTACTTAAGGCACAGAAAGAAAATCCACCACTTTGGCACCAAACCCGAGTATTTTTGTATTACAAGTAACCTGCACCTCACATAACAGATAAGCAAGTTCTGTTTTGATGCAGAAGGACTATCTGACAAGGCAGAGGAAATCAATGGGTAGAAATTGGTATTTTTCTCGTTTTTAGAACTTGGAAGAGTCTGGGGAACAGACAAACTATTGACTTCCCTGCATCATCTCAACTGTACTTATTAAGTAAGATCCCACACGTAGTATAAACTCTACCATATGCGTGCAGAAGAACAAAGATTTTCAGAGCCTTTTATAAATGAAAACTCCTTTGTGGCTAAAAAAAACTATGTATAATGCTGAAACTAAAATATTGGAGAGGCTGCAGCTGCACAAACAAATAAACGGTGTTTACCAGCAAAGGTATTTACTTACTGACAGTCAAGAAATGTTGGCTTGTAATAAAACGGTGGCATTTTAGATTCATATTTTGCTTTTGCTACATTGTTCCCATTCGTGGCCATAAACTGTGAAAAGAGGAGAAAAAACAGAAAGAATTAAAAAATGTTAATGGTATTTTCCTCTTTTGTTTCTAGAGGGTAAGAAAATTATTGGGATGGGGCCCCTGTTCATTTACTGAGGTTACTACACACAGAAAGGATGCTGTGCCTGCAAACCAGAAATTAATATTGATTATTATTGCCAGGGCTCCCCCAGCTTAATACAACACTGGGGATGGGTCTGTGTCCCAGTGACACATGCACAATCCCCACTGGTCCCCAGGGAAGCAGAAGGCAGCACACGGTGGCATTTCCCACTGACAAGCATGGGAACAAAGTGGCTCCCAGGGAATCCAGCACAGAAACTGGGCAATCAGAGGGCAAAGCCTGACACTAACTTGAACTCTCCATGTGTTACAGCTCCAGCAAGGTAACAGTCTCTGACAATACACCCACATCATTTGTTCCAAAAGGATAATGTTATTTTTGCAAAGCCATGCCAACAACCTCAGACAGAAACTTAAGGATTAAAAATAAATAATTAAATAAATATTTTTTAAATATTTAAAATATCCTTTCCTTCTGATCTCATATAAAAATGGCTAGCTGAGAACATGGGAAACAAAACCACATATTTCCCTACTCATAAATTTTATTTAATGAAAATTACTTCCTAAGTGTAAAAAACCCCATCCTTTTCCAAGCAGCCATGCTTAATATGTTTTATCTTGTGTCCAATGCCAAGCATACAAGCATAACAAGCAGCTAGGCTTTTTTCTTTTCCTCTAAGATTTTTTTTTTTCCCGTTATTTTCATGTTTTTGAGTTTCTCAAGTTTACATATTCAACCCATTCTCGAAAAAACAAACAAAAAATCAGGGAAGGGAAAACCCGTGCAACACAAAGGCCTATTTTCCTCATAAAACACATGACTCCATGAGCTGTGGCTTTCAGAAAAACCTTAAATCTACACCATACAAGACAAAGGTCAATGACTGGGAGCATTCTTCATGCCTTTACAGACACCAGGAGTCAAAGCACAGAGGTTTCCTGGGCAGGCTTGTCTTTAGCAACGTCACCCAAACCTAAGCAGGTGTGTGGCATAAATACAGACAATTTATACTGTGAGGGCTCAGTTCTTCAAGATGTGAGTTTAAGAGTCTTCAAAGCTCCACAGAACAAAGCCAGGAACAGCCAAGCTGGGCAGGGGTAGTAGACTAGAGGTCTAGCCTACCGCCTCGTCTAGGCTAGAGGTGACATAGGAAAAAAGGCAATTCATTTAAAATTAGTAATTTCTACACTCTATTTAATTGATCTTTTTACTGGTGTGGGGGAAAACCCTCACAGCTTCTTCATGAAATGGCTATTCCATTTTTCCATCAGCATCATGAACCTCATTCCCACATTCAGGAATTATCTAGATGTGCCTTCGGAAATCACATTTATTGTGGCATCTTTGGAAAGGACTCTCTCTTTTACAGCTTTGCTGGTAACAAGCAGTGACCCAAACTCATTGGTACTTCAAGTTTCAGGTGCACGTACCTCCACTTGAGCATCATCCCAGTCATCCAGACGGACCGACTTCACTTTGCTGACTTGGGGGATATTGCGATGGATTCCTGAACAATTCAAGCAGATGAAGATCCCTAGGCTGTGGGATGCCCAGTCCGGGTCTGAAAGCAAGAAGGAAAGAGAGAATTGCACTTGACAGGTCTATTAGATTCAGTGCAGGAGAAAGGAGAGATGGGACGGGACAGGGCATGGCAGGGGAGTTCAGGAGACACCAGGTCCGAGTTCCCTGATTTTAAAGGCATCAAATAAATACAGAAGCAAAATACGGATGTGTGTTAACTTAAATTGATAGTTACACCAATTACACTAGCAATTAACAGATTTGCAGTCTCCAGTGCAGCAATTATTCACAAAAACCTAATATACAGATAACTGCATATGCCAGAGACCTCCAAAACTCACTCCATGCTCACACAAAGAGAAGAGGTGAATGTGTCCATCTTTCATCACCAAATCCCACCCAAGTGTCAGATGGAACAGAAATTTCACAATTAAACCAAACAACTCGGGGAAACCATTATGCTGCTCCCTTGCCTTGCTATTTTTAAATTTATTTAATTATGTTTACTTTTACAATGGGAGTGCTCCACGGAGAGACTTTCCTCCCACAGCTACGGCTGCCCAGCAGCACAGCCCTCCGTGCCAGGAGGTTTCCAGCCCTTGTCTCAACGGAAAAATGCCGCCACTGGCAGCTCTGTACTTTCTCTGAGCAGAACCACGCGCTGTTTACAGCCCCGAGCTGACGTCTCACACAAAGCACTTTAAACACAAGTCCTTCGCCTCCAAATTCCTCCTCGGGAGAGGCATTGCCTGAAGAACAGGGAGATGGAGAGGAACCGGAGGAGGGCAGGGGCCGGGGGCAGGACACATCCACCAGTGTCCCTGGCACTGCCTCGCTAATAAAGCCGATACAGGGATCTTTGTTTGAACTCCGACAAGCAAATGTCAGCGCCTGCGATTCCAGCTGCGCCCCAGCAGAAAGAGCTTCCATGCAAGTCACCGAGTCAGCCACTAAATCCTCCATCTCCTTCCCATGGAGGTCCCCTCACCCCATCCTCCCCCAAACCCACACGGCTGGGAGCTCCCCGGCCACCGCATCACATCCAGCTGTCGAGGCGTAAGGGCAGAAGTCTTTCCTTCTTGCAAACCATCCTAATTTGTTTATTCCCCCGCAGTAATTACACTAAACACTCGCTCCTCACAGCACAGCAATTATTTATAAAAAGCGAGGGAACGTGCTTTCTCCTCCTTATACATATGGAATGGTCTGGCTGCGTCAGCACAGCAGGAGCAGGCTAGTGTGGGGCAACCAGCTCCTCTGCATGGGGTACCGAGGTCTGCTACCAGCCCCTGCCCAGGGGGATGGTCACCAACCTCCCCAGCACATCCCAGAGAAGATGAATTTGGTTCCTCAGAGGTGGTTGTGTTTAGATATAAACCCATGAGCGAAATGAGCAGCATCATCAGATGTAGTGCCCACCCAGGAGAAGGGGAGCAAATTCCCAAGCTGTGGCAAGTTCCATCAGCCACAGTTCCCTTGGCAGAGGGCTGTGACCAGCAGCCAGAAATAAAGGTGGTTATTTTCTGTTTCACACAGTCTCCTGTCCTCACACAAGGTCCCAATGACTACAGCTCAGGCCTGGCAAATATAAAACCAGGCGAGTCAATCCAAGCACATCACAGCAGTAACCAAGTGCTGTCCACATCCAGCCAGCCCCGTGAGGACACGGGGTGCTCTGCCCCACCGGGCCCGATCCCTGCACACTCACCCCGCTCCTCCCACAATGATGGGGTGACTCAGCTTCACATCACACCCAAGGTCAGGCACCCCCACTTATTCCAATCACAAAGATTGCTGCCAGGGCTATAGGTTGGCAACAAGAACCAAGAGCTTTGCACGCTCACGCACATTTCTGCCCTTTAACTCCTCGTGCTGTCTTCTCCCATCTCCAAATACATGGCTGCAATAAAAGTCTGGGACCTGCCAAACTTCCTACCACAAAAACAGTCCAAGGTACAGCACCGCTGCCCCATGGTAGCCCAGGACCATGGGACCAAACAATGCAAGTCAGGCAAGGTGAAAGCACCAAGATCCCTTGCTAAAAAACCTCTCTCTGACTTCCACACAGAGCATCAGGCACGAAGAAGGGTGAGAAGGTCCACAGGAAAGTGTCCACGGAGCAGCGGCAGTGGTGAGAAAGAGGAAGCCGTGGCAGCCAAGTTTTGAGTCGGAGGCTAATGTGGCCAGCAGCTCCCTGGGCTCAGCACAGCCGCTCCCAGCCTTCCTGGAGCAATGAGATCTGATCAAAGCAGTGACCAGCTTGGGGAAATGGGTATCAAAGTATGCATTGGCCTCCACGGGTTTTATCAGGAGCCCCAACACTTGTTTTATGTTAACAGATTTATTTTAGGCATGTAGGTGGATTTCTTCATATTGTCTGCAACTTCCTAGACTCAGGTTTCCAAATCCTTTGAAGAATTAACCCCTCTGCTGCCTGCACTGCCGTGTGTGACGGGACCAGGAGATGTCACACCTTCTTCCAGACAGGGATGAGGACACATTTGAGTGGAGGAACATCATGCAAGACAATTCTTGGGCTCAGACGGAGGAGACTTCAGCTCTAGTGGACACTGAACCAACTCATAGCCAAGCCATCTCTTCTCAACGTGGGTAAACAGCACCTCAAGCAATGGATTTCAATCACAACTAGGGCCTGAAAGCATTCTCCTGACATCAACAGTATTTTCTTTAGATCAGACTCTACATGCAACCCCCCTGCTCTGCACAATGTCAAGCCATGACTAATTAAGAAAGGAAAAGCTGGGCTATATGCCAGAGCATACATGCACCATTGCTCAGAAGATGATAGTACTTCAGAGGAGCAGACGGAGATGACAGGGTCAGTGGTGACCCAACCCTTGGAAGGGATGACCTCAACTTGCTCAACAAAACCACACCTGCTAGCTGGCTCCTCCTGATCACCTTCCTTTCAGTGTTTCCTCTCTTGCCTTGACCCAAGGTCCATGTCCATCCGACAACAGCAGCATCGCACACAGCAAACTTCGAGGAGCACAGTGCCAGAGCTGCACACTTCACTCAGCTCACCAGACCCAACACCAGCAGTGTGCATTGCTGCTGTGTATTAATAGCAACTTCCCCTTCATTGCTCTTCTGCTTTTAAAAATACATATCTCTTAAACCTAAAATCATGCAGCAAGTGGGGATGTCAGAGTTGTAGATGCTTGGTTGGTTGTGTGATGCTTTCCTGTGACAGCTGCAGCCCAGAACTACACAAATTTGGCAACCGTTTTTAGTGCCAAAGGGAACACCAGGGAGGAGGAGAGTTCAAAGGCCTCAGGAGCCGAGTTAGCCCCATCCAAAAAATTGCTAAATCCCCCAGATTTAGCAAAAAGTAGCGAAATCCTGCAGAGCCAACTGATCTACCACGGGAAGTCTCTCCAAAATGTCACTGCCATAATAATTTAATAGAGATTTCTCATGGCTCTTGCTCTCCTGGCTGAAGACATCTGACTGAGTAAACAAACCAGCCCAGGCTTTTCCTGAGCTTTAACTGAAAGCCAAAAGGAATTTCTAAGCATCATCTGAACAAGCCGGAGGGTAACAAACCCACGTGATCCTCCAGGCTGGTCCACCCCTGTGGCACCCCTGTGCCACCACTCTGTCCATGGACAGGAAGGAGAAGGGTGGAGGATTCCCTGACTCCATCTTCCAAGGGGCTCTGCTAGCACCACTTCCCCTTCTCACCCCCTCTGGGCACTTGTGACATCATTTTCAAAGACACCTCCCAACGAGACCTCCACACCCACACATCTTCTGCGGGAACTGGTGACAGATCCCCAGGCAAACGGCTGCTGGCTGAGGCGAGCACCCACTTCTGCAGGGATGCTTCTCCAAAGCCCTTTGTAAGGCTTGGGGCTGCCAGTGGCTATGGAGCTCCTCGAGCACATCACAGTCCCTCTTTTCTCATTTCTGCTCTCTAGCACAAACAACATGAAAAATTCTCAGCTCAGGAACATGGCAGATAACGCCAGCAATCTCCAACCTCAGCATAATCACAGACTCCAGCCCTCTGAAGGACTGTGCTATGGCTTTGAGATAAGACAACATCTTATCAAGCACGTGAATAAATTCACATCAGCATCTTCATTTGAGACAAGTGAGTTCTGGGGCAGCACCGTTAGTTTAGTGAACCAGCGTCCCCAGGCTGTAGGGCTGGCAAGCTGAGGTCTCCATAGCTAAGTGAAGTCTACCTTGCTGCTAGACATGTCAACAGCTGGAGCTCGTTGGACATCTAGGGAGTTCAGTAATCTTATTTAAGCCATTTTATCTGGGCAGGGCCCTCAGAAAGTGCACCAAAATGGCAATATATCATAATCTGGGCCCTTCCTGGGCACTGCCCAAAAACAATGATTTTTTTTTTTAATAAGCTTCCAGAGTTTCAAGCAAACAGCAGCGAAGCCTAATGAAAACTCTCCACATGCCCACCACTTTATGCCATATATGAAGCCAAAAGGAACAAAGACTAACAAGGAGCAAGGGGAATATTAAACCAAATACACTATTGCCACAAAACAAGAGCAAGAACTCAAAGTCCCAGAACTTACTCAGATGCCCCTGCTCCACCTTTTGCCTTAAACTACAGTTATCACTATATATAGCTGTCCTGGTTTCGCTAGGACAGAGCCAATTTTCTTCTTAGTAGCTAGAGCAGTGCTGTGTTTTGGTTTCACTGTGGGATTTGTCACGAGAACATTGATAACATACTAATGTTTCCAACTGTCACTGGAAGATGAAGGACTTTCTAACCTCCCCATGTTTTGCCAGTCTGCAGGTGCAAAGGACTTGGGAGCTGTGTAATAATTAGAAAACCCAAACTAGCATTCGGATATGCCAATAGGATATTCCATATCATAGAGCATCATGTTTAGTGTATTAATGAGGACTGAACGGAAAGATCTTGGATTTTTCTTGGATTGCTCAGGCTCTCTTTTCTGGGATTGCAGTTTTGGGATGGTCTCTGCTCCAGAATCACTAAGTAGGGGACAGGCTGGGCATTGGTTGGTGAATGGGG